GGTTTTGATTTGCATTTCCCCGATTGCTAGTGATCTTGAACATTTTTTCATGTGTCTGTTGGCCCTTTGGATTTCCTCTTTTGTAAAATATCTATTGAGGTCCTTGGCCCATATATGTATACATTCTTTAATATCCAATCAGGGTAACCATGTTTATCTCCATGAGCATTTATCATTACTTTATGGTAAAAAAAAATTCAACTTCTTTTCTTCCAGTCCAGTTTTTTCAGGGAAACATACAGTGCATTTTCATTATATATAGTCACCCTACTGTGCAGTATATCACCAGAACTTCTTTTTCATCTCCAACTATGACTGTTAAATAGCCTTTTCTATTTCTCCTTCTCTCCACCTTTTCATTCTCTCTAGCTTCTGGTAAGCCCCATTGTATTCTCAGTTTCTATGAGATTAATTGACACATAATAACTGCATATTCCTATAGTAGAGTGTGATCTTCCAAGAAATGTTTCAATGTGCAGTGATCAAACCAGGTAATAAACACTAGCATTTTAAAGGCTTTGAGATGTTCTTTTTAAAAGATTTAGGAAATAAAAGGAAATTATTCTTTATGAAACTTGAATGAATTCCGCTAGAGTGAATAGATTTGTTTGAGTGCTCACACCAGGCCACAGCGATCTCTCCTTTGAACTGCTAGAAGCAGTTAACAATCTATTCCATGTGATTGACACTTAATTGTTGACTTCTACAACTTGTTTACTTCTTTTCAAAATCATATGTCAGCTCCTTAATGATAACGGCTGGGTATCACGCATCTTCCAAGCTCTGTCTTGAAAAACCTATTGTTATTTACCTAATATTTATCTGAAAGACGGTTTAGTTCTAGTTCATAATTTATAAAAGAGCCTGCCACACCAAACTGCTAATCTAAGGATCCAGAGGAAAACAAGAGCATAATTGATTGTAGCAGTATTCTTTCCCTCACTTCCTCGGGCTGATGGCCCCTTCATGCCTTTGCTACTAGCTTTCTGTTTTCATTTATCTGCATTATTTATATTTCATTTCCTTAAAGAAATTTAACAGTTTGGGGATTACATTTTCCTTTCCACATTTCCTGGTGGCAACACTTGAGGAGTCATTGTTCGGCTGAGACTATGAGCACTTCCTTATATTCATGCAGGTCACATCATTACACAGCAGTTGGTCGTTTTGTTGTTATTGTTCCTCAGTTTGGAAGAGGGAAGCAGGTGTCTTGCTTCTGCTGAATGTAATACTAATGACATCAACAAAGGAGAATCCCTTGGGATAGCCATATTTAGGGGAAAGCTCTCAAATCAAATAATGGAATATAATTTACTTGTTAAAGAATAAAACTGATGACCTGGTAGGTAGCTGCATTTTCCCACTGCTGGGTGAGTCAGCTGTGTTGTTTCTTTTTCTGTATCACAATCCTCAAAGCCCAGAGGAAAGAGGAAACACTTAGCTCCACGAAAAAGTGGGAGAATAAGCACGAGAGTCATATAGCAAATCTCTAGCAGCCTTGGCTTTAATTTTCAAGGGGATTTTTCTAGTCTGAGGATTTGCCATATCCTTATACTTTTTGTTCCTTACAAATAAAGTTCTTGTTAACTTTCATATCTATTCACCTGGGCCTAATGCAAGAAATTAAAATAAAGAGCTTGTTTTCTAAAATGCTGTTACAAAATAGTCCAGGTTTAACAAACCAGCTCAATAAAAGCTGCTCCACTTTGCTTCAGTAAGTGGAGAGGTTGCTCATGTCCTTGACTAGATAGCCGTTGCCCTATATAATTTTTTTGGTTTTATACCATTGTGTTTTATGCGTTGATCAAAATGTCATAGTTTGAACACCAGGCTTTCAAATCAAAATACTCTCTCAAAACTCTTTCTCTCGGGATTACAAAGAGATGTTCTTATTTAATTGACAATCTGTGTCTCAAGTACTTGCCCATTTGTACTTTCATTGCCAATTAGGATTTCTGAAGTCTATCTAATAAATTCTTACACAGCATTGCAATTTTTTCAGGCTTTGAACAAATACCATTCGGATGTGCTGTGAGGACCTATTACAAGATTTAATTAAATTTCAAATGTATTGATCATTCATTTTTGTAGCATGATTGAAATCAGAAAAAAAAAAAACTGATGAGTAGTTTGAAAACTCCCATTCTTTCCTAGTATATTAAAACATAAGACACTTCTACTAGTTTTTGGCTATTATGAACCTTAACATGGAATGTGACCTTGGTCTGAAAGCATGTTTGGTTAGCAGAGAAACTTAATCATAAGGAGTCATAAGTAGAATCCTTCTTCTTTACTGCCCTTTTTCCAGGACTAGGAAATTTATTGCTTGTGGGACAGGTAGGATATGAACAATGGGCCAAATAGAGTCCAGGGTTATCTCATCTGTGTGAAAACTGCTGCTGAAAATCGATGTGACCTCTGCTACACTGTCATCCCAGTTCCCACCCTCTGTGTCCTATTTGTCTTTTGGTAGAAGCTTAGATCTGTGCTCTGTCTCTATGTGTCTCTCTTGGGCCAGATTATCAAAATGAATCATTGCCTGCATACCTCTTATATTTCTATTTATTTTCCTGGTGTTGACTAGGTCTGATGAAATACGATTCTTTTTGCATTTGATCCTCACTGCAGCAAGCAACACCTAATTCAGCTGTGTCTATCTATTTAAAGAAGAGTAATACTATTTTGAAACTTCAATCTACTGTACAGAAACATTACAAACCATGGACCTTGCAACCTGTCTTCATAGTCAATAGTAATTTTCCTTTCAGCTGGTTTAATGGCATCTCTTTCATCTCCAAATAGAGGACTTCTAGCAATTTTAACATAGTTATAATTTTGCTAAAGGCACACTGAATGTATTGCTTTCCTTTTCAGGTGCTCTGTTTATAGAATGCTTCTCAGATTCTCAACACTGAGGTTACATGTGTGTGCAGAGGGATATATAACAAGGAGTCCATTAATTTTTAGAACTCTGGCCCTGACACAAAGTATTTATTCAGAGGAAATATTATATTGTCTCTGAATCAGCAGGAATTCAATGTTCTAAGTTCGTAGTGGTTCATTTTGTAAAAATAGATCTTGCAGGCTGTATGCATTTATACTTTAAGATTTATGAACATTAATGCAAAGGTGTAGAACCTCTCCAGCTATTATTAACATTGATAGATCATTATGAAGTCATTCCATCCACTTAATGCACTCATGTGTGGAAGATAAAATACTACCTAAACACAGACATCAAACAATATGAATAAAGCATAACATTGCTTGGTTAGCTGTTGAGAAATGCACTTCAGAAACATGAGAGCTGCTGGCTAAGACATGCTTTAGGATTAAGATTTCTTTTGTGAGATAATATTTTAAATGAAACCGTGTTGTTGAATATGGTTACAGATTTTGTGATAATGTATTGCTCCAAATTTACCACTGGTTTGAAAAAGAGAGAAAGAAATGTCTTATAAAAGTTTAGGGTTGGCCGGCACCACGGCTCACTAGGCTAATCCTCTGCCTAGTGGCGCCGGCACCCCGGGTTCTAGTCCCGGTTGGGGCGCCGGATTCTGTCCCGGTTGCCCCTCTTCCAGGCCAGCTCTCTGCTGTGACCCGGGAGTGCAGTAGAGGATGGCCCAAGTGCTTGGGCCCTGCACCCACATGGAGACCAGGAGAAGCACCTGGCTCCTGGCTCCTGGCTCCTGGCTCCTGCCTTCGGATAGGCGTGGTGCGCCGGCAGCAGCACTCCGGCCGCGGCGGCCATTGGATGGTGAACCAACGGCAAAAGGAAGACCTTTCTCTCTCTCTCTCTCTCTCTCTCTCTCTCACTGTCCACTCTGCCTGTAAAAAAAAAAAAAAAACGAGAGAGAGAGAAAAAAAAGTAAAAAAGTTCAGGGTTAATAAGGGAGCTATATAAAAGATGAATTATGCACCTATGATCAAAATACTATGTTTCTCAGTTTTACAAAAAATTTTTTCCTGGGAAATATTCAAAGTAATTTCCTGTGCTAAAGAAAGTTAACAGGATATTTCATACATTTTATTGAATTATTTTGGAATTATAAATACTCTAACATTTGGATTCAAATATTTAAGACTGTTGATTAGCTAACTAATATTTTAACATTTTATGCCTATTGGTTTAGAAAAATAGAAAATATACAGTTGTTCTATATTAAGAACATTTTATTCAGAGATAATTCTATTCCATTAAGTAATCTCACTGAAGGTTCCCGCAATTGTATACCCATGACTTCCCACACAGGAAATCCCACAGCAAACCATGATGACTGTGAAATCAATGGGGTTCAAGACTCTGCACACTATATATGTATGCTGCTTGAAATTGACAAATGAAGTCTAACTGTATAACAAATCTATATTAATATCACTACAGGAATCAGAACCAAAGGGTAGTTTTTTTTTGTTTGTTTCCAATCCATCTGAAAATTGGTTAGGTCTAGATTCAAGGTTAGTCATTTTTTCAAACAAATCACATTAGGATGTATGGAGTCTGACAATTTTCTGACCAGAGAAGGATTCATCATGTTTTTAAAACTTTGTGCCCTGTTAAGAGACTACAGTGAGTAGACTAAACTGTTTTGAGGTACTATTTTTCACCCCATCATGCACTGTTGTAGAACCACAAGTAGGAGTAATTGAGTTTCTTTGGTTATATCCCAACATTGTCTTCCTGTAGCAGTTTTTTGTGTGCGTGTGCTTTTCCAGGAGGTGATCTGATTATTTAATTTCTAGAGATTAAATATATATTAAATTTGTTTCTTCATATTCCCTGCCTCTTTAGTAGTAACTGTCACCTCAGTTTCACGAATTGTTTATTGAAGCATTTATTTGAAGAAATTAGAGGCAGATGGAGAGTAGGTATGACTTCTAATTATGAATGTGCATCATTTAGTTTTAGACAAAAATTACTAGTGCCTATTAGAAATGACTTATTTAAACTTTTGAGCTGTTAATTTGTGAACTTCCTGATATTAATTTTGTTTTTGCAGAAGAGGTACCAGTTCAAATCCCAATGATGAAGTCACCTTTGGACAAGATCCAACTCACTCCTGGGCAGGCATTGCCCCCTGGATTCCCTGGACCATTCATTTTTGCTGATAGTCTGTCCTCCGTGGAGACTCTGTTGACCAACATTCAGGTCAACAATATTTCTATAAACAAAATAAATGTAATACAAGACATTAGCACCTACCTAAATTATTTCATATTTGAGAAATTAAAACAGATAAGATGAACTGCATGTCATTTGCTGTACTTTGACAGGGTCTACTGAAAGTGGCTTTGGATAATGCTCGTATCCAGGAGAAGCAGATTCAACAAGAAAAGAAGGAACTGCGAATAGAACTCTATAGAGAGAGAGAAATTAGAGAAAACCTTGAAAGACAACTTGCAGTTGAGCTTCAAAGCAGAAGTAAGTTTAATAAGCTCAATTACAGATTGAATAGGTTGTTGGAGTTATTTTCAATAGTAATAGAAATTTTCTCATTGATAGCTTGGAAATGCTCAAAAACAAATGACAAACTAAGAATCAAATACTATGTGTAAGTCACAGATAAGAATTTTGTACTATCTCTATACTCAAAGATAATTAGCTACATCTGTACTTTGGGCTAGTTCTATCACAATTTTATTAAATATACCTGAAGATAAATAATATATTAATCTCTGATACATGGAATGCTTACCATTTGGCAGGCACAGTGGTAGATTCTGGGATTATAAAATTAATGAAACTCCTTATCCTTGAGAGATTTACCTTTTTGAGAAGAAGTACAATCACCTAATTTCAAAACAAAATAGCAAGAGTAAGCATTCCCAGTCTTTATGGTTATGTAGAGAGGAGGTATTTAGTCTAATGACTGGTGGTAGTGAGCTGGTTAAGGGAGCTTTCCCAATGTTGACGCTTTAGAATCTGAGCCTTAAAAGATCATTATGCTGGGCCGGAGCCGTGGCTCACTAGGCTAATCCTCTGCCTGTGGCGCTGGCATCCCGGGTTCTAGTCCCGGTTGGGGTGCTGGATTCTGTCCCGGTTGCTCCTCTTCCAGTCCAGCTCTCTGCTGTGGCCTGGGAAAGCAGTGGAGGATGGCCCAAGTGCACCGGCATGGGAAACCAGGAGGAAGCACCTGGCTCCTGGCTTCGGATCGGCACAGCGCTGGCCGTAGTGGCCATTTGGGGGGTGAACCAATGGAAGGAAGACTTTTCTCTCTGTCTATCTCTCCCACTGTCTAACTCTGCCTGGCAAAAAAAAATCATTATGCTAAAAAAAAAAATCACCTTAGTGATCTGGGCATTGTAGACACAGGTATCAGACAGGCATAGGTGCAAGAAACTTAATATGTGGGCAACTGTATACAATTTGCCATTAAAATAGGTTTGAATTTTATGTTGTGAATGGTGGAACTTCATGCAAAAAGATGCTGGTAGAAGCTAACTTATGGACAATTTGACCATATAGAAGATCAGCTTGGGAGTAGATATCTGGCTTAGCAGATAAGACGCATTAAAATGTCTGTAACCCGTGTTGCAGTGCCTAGGTTTGACTCCTGGTTCTAGCTCCTGACTCCAGCTTCCTGTTAATGTGATTCCTGGAAGGCAGTGGTGAAGGCTCTGTTATTCATGTGGAAAACCTGGACTGAGTTCCAAGCCTCCAGCATCAGTCTGGCTCATCCCCAGCTGTTGTGGGCATTCAGAGAAGTGAACCAGAGCATGAAAACTCTGTCCATTAGAATGCCTATGTCTCTCTTTCCAATAAATACATTTTAAAAAGAGATTAACTTAGGCTGTATCTTATAAGTGGATTGGAAGCATTAATAAGTAAGAGGGTGATCTACTCTGATTTCAGTTAGTTAGATGATTTCAGTTTTGAGAATAGATTATAAAGGGCATTGGTCCAAGACTAGAAACAAATAAACTACTGAAGGAGCTGGCATATGTGCTTGTGATGTCAGGTTCACATATGAGGGTCAGTTTGAGTTCCCAGTTGCTGTGGTTCCAATCAAGCTCCACGATGATGCACTTGGGAAAACAATGGAAGGTTATAAAAGTGCTTGGGTCTTCCGCCAATACAGGAAACCCCAATGGACTTGCAGACTCCTGGCTACAGCCTGGTCCAGATGTCATGGCTGTTTGGGGAGTGAACCAGCAGTTGGATGATCCCTTTCTCTTTCTGTCTTTCCCTCCCTCTGTAACTCTACCTTTCAAATAAATAAACTACATTTTTTTTAAAAAGAAACTATGGAAAAGGAGGTTGCTGTTTTCCATGCACTGTTCAAGAGAACTGAATTTGGGTAGCATAAGTAGGCATGGAAACAAAGGGGACAGAATGGAGAAATATCAATTGTTCAGAAATAAAATTTAATTTCCAATCATAAGTCACCACTTGATTACAGTAATGAATAAATGAGACTAGTTCATATCAAAACTACAGAAAATCAAACCTTCAACTTCAGTCAGATCCGTATTTTCCCTGTATTTACTATAAAATATTAGACAGCAGCAAAATGACTATCGGAATTTCAGCTCCTGTTCCTTCCCTGTTTACTCTTCTGTGGAGCCACGAATAAGCTGAGTTTAAAAATGGGAAAGAGAGGCAAAGAAAAGGAGAGAAAATCCACAATCTGCATAATGATTCCTTCCACTTGAGTGAAACCCAGATTTTATACTAATTAAACATAGTGTGCTCTACTTAGAAATTTGTTTCCACATATTTTTCATCGAGCCTAAGAGTCATTGATTCAATTCAAAATGGAAATTCAGTTCTCATATCTAAAAACAATTAAGGGAAAGTGTTGCAGTGGTTAGGATGCAATGTATGCTGACACATCCCTTTATAGGAGTGTCTGGTTTTGAGTCCTAGCTCCAATCTGGATTCCAGCTTCCTGCTAATAGATATCCTGGGAGGCAGGGGTGATGTAGTTGAGTCCCTGCCACCCAATTGGAACACCTGAATTGTGGTCCTGGCTTCTGTCTTTGTCCTGGCCAGTGCTGGCTATAGTGGGCATTTGTGGAGTGGACCAGTGGATGGAAGATCACAGTCTGTCTGACTGTCTCTATGTGTCTCTCCACATTACAAATAAAAATTTGAAAATTAAAAATGTTTAGAAATAATTAAACCTGTTTTTATCATCATGCCTAATTCATAAATACTACAAGCAAAGACTAGATGGTCTTTTTAAACTTTTGAGAAGTTTGTATATAATTAACATACTAAAAAAACAAAAATGTTAAACATAATAAGATTCTCTTAAATAGACTTATAAAAAAATCTATATATAGTAAAACTGGCTTCTAACTTTCAGCATTCTCCTCATTCTGATTTCTGTTTGTTAACATTTCTTAGACCCTTTAGGTCTTTATTTAATAATTGATATTTGTTGTCCCTTAAAACATCCTAGATGTAGTAGATAAAATATTGTGTCTATTATAAAGTTTACTATGAAGTATTTGCAGTCAATAAATTTATCATTTAGTATAATACAAAAATAATGATACTACTTCTGTTACTATCATTTTTATTACTTCTTTAATTAGTGTAACTGCTATTATCATAACTACTAATACTACTACTGGTACTTAATGCTCATCAAGTGTCTACTATATATCTAACACTGGCTTTTAATATTTTTTTATCTGTTGACTAACATAACTATAGGAAACTATTCTGTTGTCCTCTGTGATTTAGAGAAACTATCCACATCATCATTATGAATCATAGTGGCTAATCTATTACAATAGTTGAGCTAAATAATCACTTGAATTCCTTTCTACTCCCTTGAATATAACATAGACAGTATACCAAACTTTTTATAATGAAGAATAAACTATTTTAAAGATTTACTTATCTATTTGAAAGGCAGAGTCAGTGAGAGAGAGAGAGAGAGGGAGAGAGAGAGAGAGAAAGAGAGAGAGAAATAGAGAGAGAGAGAGAGAATCTTTCATCTACCTGTTCACTCCCCAAATGGCCGCAGCAGCTAGGGCTGAGATAGGATGATACCAGGAACCAGGAACTCTGTCTGGATCTCCCACATGAATGGCAGGGGCACAAGTATATAGGTCACCATCTGCTACCTTCCCAGGCTCATTGTCAGGAAGCTGGGTCAGAAGTGGAGGACCTGGGACTCAAACCAGCACTCGAGTATGGGATACTGGCCTAACCACAACCCCAGCCTCAAGGATAATCTTTAAAATCTTGTGATGGAAAAGACAGAGTAGAAAATTGTTGTTATGGTTAAAAGTGATATCTCTCCAAGGATATAGTAAAAATGATGTATGTATGCATCTGTGTTTGTGTGTGTGTATATCTTAACTTTATGTATAACTACATATATAAAAGTATATGTAATTATGTATAAAACTATGTATATGTATTAAAAGAATCCCAGTTTACTTTTATTTTCTTATCAAAAAAGCAATGTTCCACACTCAAGAGGGTAATATAACCTATTACCTTTTTGGTGCTGGTAGACTTCGGTACTTCAGTTAAACACATGTATACATATACAATAATACTTTTTGCAGATTAACACTTAAAATCATAGAATAGGAGCAGACATTATGATACAAGAGTTATACTGCTTCTTAGTACACTCACATCCCATGTTGGAGTGTCAGTTCAAGTCCTGGATACTCTGCTTCTAATCCAGTTTCCTGCTAATGCATCCTGAGTGGCAGTGGATGATGACTCAAGTACTCAGGCCCCATCACCTACTTGAGAGATCCAGTTGTAGTTCAAAGCTCTTGGCTTTAACCTCATCCACCTCTGGTTACTTCAGGCATTTGGAGCGTGAACAAGTGGATGGAAGATGTCTCTCTTGTTCTCACTGTCAATCTGCTTGTCTGCCTTTCGAGTAGATGAAAATAAATAGAAAAAAAAATAAGATAAAAGGTGATAATGCAACAAGGAAACTTGAAACTCACTTGCCTTGATTCCTGGAGCAGTTATGTGTTCTCTAAGATTTGCAAAAACTATCTATGTTATCTTTGATTCTCAGACTTAAAAGCAAGATTATGTATTTGAAAGGCAGAGTAACAGAGAGAGAGAAGGAAGGAAGGAAGGAAGGAAGGAAGGAAGGAAGAAGGGAGGGAGGGAGGAAGGAAGGAGGAAGAGACAGAGAGAGACTGGGGGCAGGGGTGAGTTTGCTCTTCCAACTGCTGGTTCACTCTCCAAATGGCTGCAACAGCTAGGTCTATGTCAGACTGAAGCCAGGAGTCAGAAACAGCATTCTGGTCTCCCACGTGGGTGGCAGAGTCACAAGTAATCAAGGTATCCTCCACTGATTTTCTTGATGTATTAGCAGAAACCTTGTTCCAGAGCAGAGTAGCTGGTACTTGAGCAGGCACTCCCATCTGGGATGCTGGCATCACAAGTAGCACCTTAACCCACTGTGTCACAAAATCAGCCCTGTCCTCAGGCTTATAAAACTACTACTTACAGGAACTGGGGTAAATTTCTTAACCTCTCCAAGACTCAGTTTCCTCATCTAAAAAAATATAGCTACCACTGTTTTCCTTGCAGGTTTTTTAAGGCCTAGATGTGCTATACTTCCAGCAAAATGCTCAAAAACCACTGTAGGTTCTAAACAAATTATAGTGATCATAATCTATTTGTATAATACTTAAAATTATTTATTTGAGAGACAGAGAGAGAAAGAGACAGAAGCAGACAGCTTTCATCCACTGATTCACTACCAAAATCCCCTAACACATAATGGTCAGGGATAGGGATTAATCTGGGAGCTAGGAACATGATCCAGCTCTCTTACTTAGGTAGCAGGAACCCAATTGCTTGAGCCATCACTGCTGCCTCCCAGTATCTATATTAGCAAGTAGCTGGGGTTGGAAGCTGGAGCTAAGCATGGAGCCCAGGTACACAGAAGATATGGGATGTGGACATCTTGAATGACATCTTAACTGGTAGGATAAACGCTAATCTATATTTATATAGTTTTAAATGTAGCATGCTCTGACATTGTTTACAGTATGCATAATCATAAATTTCAATTGAATCAGCATATAGTGTATTTTTGTTTTGACAGGCAGAATGGACAGTGAGAGAGAGAGACAGAGAGAAAGGTCTTCCTTTTTCCATTGGTTCACCCCTCAATGGCCACTGCAGCTGGCGCACTGCGCTGATCTGAAGCCAGGAGCCAGGTGCTTCTCCTGGTCTCCCATGCGGGTGCAGGGCCCAAGCACTTGGGCCACCCTCCACTGCTTTCCCGGGCCACAGCAGAGAGCTGGACTGGAAGAGGAGCAACTGGGACAGAATCCAGCGCCCCGACCAGGACTAGAACCCGGGGTGCCAGTGCCGCAGGCAGAGGACTAGCCTATTGAGCCGCGGCGCCGGCCAGCATATAATGTTTTTTGAAACAATAATTTTACTAGAAACAACATTTTATCTTATCAAGGACATTAATTTATGGCCTAATTTAAATAGATCTAAATTCCTTATTTAAATGATTTGTTGCTTTAGTTGATTCATAATGTAAGTGCAAATATGACAGGAAAATAATGTTATGGTCCACCTTATTCAACAGTCTTCTCTCAAAAATAATAGAAAATATGTATACACTTTCAATATCTTTATTCCAAAAATTCTACATTTATAAGGATGGAGAACCTTTTTTCTGCTAAAGTCCATTTGCATATTCATAACATCATTCACAGGCCATATAAAATTATCAACTTGAAAATTAGCCTGCTGGGGCCAGTGCTGTGGTACAGCAGGTGGAGTTGCTGCCTGTGGTTCCAGCATCCCATATGGGTGCCAGTTCGAGCCCCGGCTGCTCCACTTCTGATCCAGCTCCCCGCTAATGCACCTAGGAAAGCAGTGGAAAATGGCTCAAGCACCCACATGGGAGACCTGGAAGAAGCTCCTGGCTCCCGACTTCAACCTGGTCCAGCCCTGGCCATTTCAGCCATTTTGGGTAGTGAGCCAGTGGATGGAGGATCTCTCTCTCTCTCTCTCTCTCTCTCTCTCTCTCTCCAACTCTGCTTTTCAAATAAATAAATCCTTAAAAATCATTTAAAAATTAGCCTGCTATTAATTTATTGACTTTTGAAACCTGCCTGCAGTTGCCTTGGCAGGACCAGACCGAATGATTTTATGGGCCTTATATGGCTGTTGGAATACATTCCCCATTTCTGCCTTAGACCTCTCATTTTAGTTTTTCTCAAGTGAACAGAAATTTATGTGAGTAACCAGCTCTCTTAAAGTTGCTGAAAGTCATTTATTTGAAAATACACTGTACTCTGAGATACAATTGAAACTTAAATTAACACATATTCAGGTGAGTTGAAGCATTTTAATTGTAAATGAATGCATTTAACATTTTAGAAATGTTTATTTTCAGTTTGCTTGAGAGACAGAGGTGTGTGTGTGTGTGTGTGTGTGTGTGTGTCAGAGAGAGAGAGAAAGAGAGAAAGAGATCTTTCATCTACTGGTTCTCTTTTCAAATGCCCACAATAGTCAGGGCTAATCAGGCTGAAGCCAAGAGCTGGAACTGAATCCAGGTCTCCCATGAGCGTAGTAAGAACCTAAGTACTTGGGCCATCATCTGCCGCCTCCCAGGCACATAAGTAAGAGGCTTGATTGAAAGTTGAGGCCGGGGACCAGCACTGTGGCAGGGTAGGCTAAGCCTCTGCCTGTGGTGCCAGCATCCTATAAAGGCACCAGTTCGTGTTCTGGCTGCTCCACTTCCAAGCCAGCTCTCTGCTATGGCCTGGGAAAGCAGTAGTAGATGGCCCAAGTCCTTGGGCCCCTGCACCCTCATGGAAGAGGCTCCTGGCTCCTGGTTTTGGATCCACTCAGCTCTGGCAGTTGCAGCCATTTGGGGAGTGAATCAGAGGATGGAAGACCTCTCTCTCTGTCCCTCCCTCTCTCTAACTCTCCTCTCACATAAATAAATAAAATATTTAAAAAAAGGGAATTTGAGAGTGAACTTGAACCAGACAATTCTGTATGTGCTGCAGGCATCCCAAGAGGCATCTTAAGCACTGTACAAAATACCTGCCCCTACTTTTAACATTTTAAAAATGTCATGCAGTTTATTATTTTGTTTGATGTACCTTAAATGTCTTGCTATTGTCATAACACCAATGTCTTAATTAAAAAAAAACTAATTTAGGAAAAATGTCAAAGTTGAACTCCTTAGACATTTCCTACCAACCAGTATATTGCTGAAGCCCAATAATCTGGTTAGAGAAACAGTTTTCCAGGTTTCAGAGTTTAGACACAATCAAGTATTAAAGAGTTGGTGTTTCTGGTTAAGACATAAAGCTTTTGGAGTTGAAGTATAGCTGTTCTTTATCTCTTCTTTAACTTTTCTGCTTACCAAAGAAGTGTCATTGTGATTATGTTTTTATAGCTTGCTTATATAATAGTAACTGCAAGTTATTCTTCTTAAAGTGTTTGTGTGTGTGTGTGTGTGTGTGTGTGGAGATTGACAGAGGGAGACATAGACTGATATATGCATTACTTAAACATATATATATATAATACATATATGTGTACATCTGGTAATATTTTAGAGAAACAGAATTTGCCACTTAAACTTTTAAACATTGTGTTTTGCAACACAATAGATATTTTCATATTATTGTCCACTTTGAAAGACGAATTGTCAGAAGCAGATAAATAGTTCCTTTCTTTGGAAATTTATCAAATATTTAATACTATCATGAAATGCATGTAGTGAGTCAAAGAAATTCTCCACCCTACTACTCCCATCTAACCAATACATCTGTATGAGAATTATGGAGCATATGTACTAGAACTATGAAAATAAAAAAGAAGTTGACTATACGCTCTTTGGATGAGCCTAATGAGAGTCAGGAATAAAGAAGCTAATCATTTATTGAATAATATTTATACCTGTCTGCATCTATACCTATACCTGTGGTTTATAATTCATTGAAACTGACAACCTATTGCATTGAGCAAACCTTTGCAAACTACATTTTCACATTTTAGCTACCATGCAAAAGCGTCTGAAGAAGGAGAAAAAAGCCAAGAGAAAACTGCAGGAAGCCTTGGAATTTGAATCTAAGCGCAGGGAGCAAGTAGAGCAGGCACTTAAACAAGCCACTACTAGTGACAACGGCCTGAGGATGTTGAAAGGTAAGGTAAAAAAAGTAAAAGCCAATGTTTAAAAAGAAGGAAAGAAAGAAAAAGAAGAAGAAAAGGATGGTGAAGAAGGGAACTGAATAAAGAAAGGAAGGAAGGAGGGAAGGAAGGAGGGAGACAGGGAGGGAGAGAGAGGGAGGGAGGGAGGCTGCTATGGTAGAATTAGAAAATCAATTTGAGGCCAAGTGTTTTAGATCATGAATTAAACCAGTCAAAATAATCCCTAGATGGGAGATACAAGTGGCCTAAAAATAACAGGAAATCCTGCTGACTTTTGCAGTAGAAACAGAATCATTGATAACCTTCCTGCATCTTGAATTGTTAGTGCTTTATGTCCATTCATATTAGACTATGCTGACATTTTCTGAACTCTGAATTAGTTATAGGACACTGATTCCTTTAATGAAAATTGCATCAGTGGTATGGTGCTTAATGAATGCCTGGTTGAGACAGAACATTCCAAGTAAATTCCTAGAAGTCCTGTGGGAAGAGATGACTACATCATGAAATATCTTAATTCCAAGGTTCTCGGATTCTATTTTAAATTCTGAACCCCATACTTCCTTTCATCTAACCCAGACAAATTTGAAGTAGAAATTCAAAAATGCCCACATGTGTGCATTCACCCACACATACACACACACACACGCGCGCAGATTGGTTTTATACAATGACTAGCTTTTGGAATTTAATCTGAAGAACACAATAGTAAAATATTTGCCTCTGGAGAAAATGCTACATAAAGACCACAAACCATAATGTTATTTTGGTCTATACATGCACTTAGCATAGAGATTATATCGTCATCAATCATATTTTACAAATGGAAAATAAACATAAGGATAAGGAACTTCCACTTTGGCAATTGTATCCACCATATTTTTTAAAAATTATTATTATTCTATAGTCTGGTGGTGTTAATCTGATAGTCTCAGGGCACTTTTATGGACAGGTTATTTTACTAGGATTTGTCTTCAGGGAATGAAACAAAGTAGCACTTGCCGCCTACTGGGAAATATATGCCCAATGGTATAATTCAGCTACTGTTGATATCCTACCTGTTACCATTAAAAACAAAAATATAAAAAGCAAAAATGCCACTGCAAATTTTGCATTATGTATAGCACCAAAGTATTGACTTACTGGAGTTTTCCCTTTAAGTGAAGTCAGGTGACACAGAATTGTACCTTAATCTTGAATGTCACTTCTTTCAGATACTGGAATTCCAGATATTGAAATTGAAAACAATGGTACCCCTCATGATAGTGCTGCTATGCAAGGTATAGTAAATAGTGTATTTCTTTCTGCAGACGCTTAATATGTGATCCCAGGGTTGGGTGGGGATAAGCGTCTATGTTGATATAGTTAATCCAAGTAAAATAAATCAGTTTCACTCCTTTCTTTGTGACATAGAAAGCAACTTGCCATTTTGTATTTATTGAGAAAAAATATGCTTAATATGGCTTTGAAAGGCCAGTATCACTATACAAACTTAGAGACTAATAATTTTTCATATACAATGTGAGCAAATTTCTTATGATTATCTGGTAAAAGGGTATACATTTATTTGTTAGGCAAAGTCTACAGCATATAAATGAGAGTGTAATTGTCTTTCAATAGTGTACAATGCCATGTACTTTTTTTTAACTTCACTGCTTTACTGTTTGTAAAAGCCACAAGTAGAATAATCATAAGCTATCAATATTTTAAAGTTGTTCTAGACAACATGCTCTATCAAACTTTGGATTTTTATGCTAATTTTAGAAACCACTTAAATATGGAAATAAGAACATATCTTATAATTCATAGTTTGTGAGATTCCCATAAATGCTTAGATCCTTTAAGATATTTAAAAGTAGTAGTTACAAAACAGATAAAGCAAATCAACATACACTCTTAATGGAGTGCAAAAACACCCCAAAATTAGAATTGAATTTGATCACTGCAAATTGTCCACTAAGATCCTTATGTAGTTGTCTTGCCTTTTATATGCAGGTTACATTTATTTTCACATTTATTGTGAAATATATCTCTAATTTAAAAAAAGACATTTTCATGAGAACACCTTTCCCTAATTTTGAAAACACAAAGTCAACCATGAATATATTGTTGGTTGGAGGTTTAACTAATCAGTAGTTTCCTACTGAATGATGACTGAATCTATATTAAGGCAACAGAAATGGATGCGACCAGAAGATCCATTTGGGTTCAACTCAGGATCACCATTTTATAAAGCATCTTCAGGAAATTTAGAAACCTCCCTTTTTGTAGCTTTGCAAATTCAGAAGACTGAGAGCTCATGGATTTTCTGGTCATGGCTAATTCTACTGCAGCAAGGCAGATCTAACTAATGCTTAGTTTTGTTTAGATGTGAAAGCATGCACTCTTGGATCATTCAATGATGCTTTTGCTGTTTCTTATAATTTTTTTTTTGCTTGCCTGCTTTCTTTCCTCATTTTATAGGCTGTGTCCATGTGAGCAAAGCCAATTTGAATGAGATTCAGTGTATGTACAATGAATTCACCACAGCTAAACTCATGAAGAAAGTCCTTGTGGTGTGGACCTGGTATTTGAGGTTTCCATCACATACTAGGTCCATGATAGAAATGAATAGCCTGAGGCATTTGATCTCTTCTGAATCAATAATGTAAAAATATAGATACAGTCTTTAAGGATCATTGAGCTTTATTGTGCCCTTGCTTTGAGTAGGATGTAAGTCAGTTTAGGAGTTGGAGAAGGAAATCAAAACCCTACCAATATATTTTACCTTTATTTTCCTTTAATCCTGTACCTGCAATTCATTGCTTATTTAATTTATATGATGTCTTCAGTTCACCTTAGTAACATAATTCCCAACTCTGAGATAAATACAAGCTTTTGTGTTGTCCTGAAGCTACTTCATTTCCATTCAACAGGTAACAAATGTATTCATGGGCAGTCAATAGGTGACATGGAGGAAAGCACATTCAGTCTCCATTTGGCTCCAAATTTTTTTATTTTGATGATGTTCACAAAGAATGACTTCTGCATATAAACTTGTGCTTAGGAAAGGACACATTTAATATTTGTTTTCACCAAACATACTTTTAATGAGGTTTAGTGTCTACTGGCAAACATAAGAAAATTAGATACATCTCTAAAAAGATTGAGATGGAACATGTTATAAAGCAAGAAAATTGAGTTTTATTATTCTATATTACAAATCAAATTGTCTAGTATTTGTGGTGAATATTGTCCATACAAGATAAAATATGATAGTTTAATAACTTCTTTTTCAAAATCTATGTTTAGATTACATTAAATAGTATTGTAGATAAATGTGACAAAAATGGAAAAGTACACATTCTCTTAGCACAACATGCAAGCACTGCAAATGATAAAACTCCCATCATCACTTTATGAAAAGCTAGAATGACTGTCTCGTGTTAATATGACAGTAGAATGACAACTTCCTATCAGAAAGAGGTTATTTTGAGCAACAATGATTTTTTTTTTCTGTTAGCCAGTGGACGATGTGACTGAGAATATCATTAGGACTAATATTAAATTTAGTTCACCAAGTCAATCAGGTCAAATAATTGCCTAAAATAATCTAATCATTTTGTCATTTATTTGAGATGCTCAGAATTGAAAGATTACTTCTATACATATCCACAAATCTCAGAGAATATATAATACTTGGAAAATATGAAATGCAAGATTAACCATTATTTTGCCATTCTCTCTAATAATTTTTTTTTTGTAGATGTTCTAGTTCTCTTTTGTGACTTATTTTGATAATGTTTTTACCTTTTTTTATCTCCCTTAATTTTCTGCTTTTTAACTAGTAAACTTATTATTTGTGAGGTCAGTTTATGCATGCTGATACACTGCCACTTTTTTTCAAAACTCACTTCTATCATAGCAAAGAATTCAGCATCAGTGAAGTCCCTTCTCTTCCCATTGTCAATAGTTCTGTTGGATAGCAATCCATCATTCACTTAGTGCTGTCCCTTTGAAATTCAATTAGTTCCACACATCTCTTGAATAGAATTTAAAGATTTGGAAAACGGTTATTTGTCCACCCTTAGAAAATAAAGTCATATTCAGTTTTATGGTAATCCCCACGTAGATTTAATATAGGCAAACTGCTCATGCACCAGGATTCTTATTCTCATATGTGTGTCATATATATATATATATATATATAATCTCTTCAGTTTAATTGTTTCTTTTATGGTTTGAATGTTGTTAAAAAAGACAAGATATCTATCATGTGTAGAGGACCTTTCAGTCAAAGGGTATCTCTAGTCCTTATGTTTTCTCAATCTGCCATAGCAATTCATCCTGATTGTTTTCAGGTGATCAAACAATGAATATACACTCTTTGCAATGGCTGTGTCCAGTGTCTCTGGAGGTGAAGGATTCATTGGAGCATGTACATGAATACAGTCTCATTCAGATTTCTGTAACTCAGTTGGGGGCCTGCAAGACAGCACATCAACCATCTTATCCACCAATCTCCTTTCACATAAAATAAACATACTGGGTGTCATTAAGTGCACCTTCAGATCAATGATTTTTGCAAATGACATTCAAGTGCCATTTGCGTAGTACATTTTTGCTGATAAAAGCAAATTAAATTAGCACAACTACAAGTGAGCTGATAAAAACTAAAACCGAACAGCAGTACCATTAGCTACCAAAGTAATATTTTCTCTTTACTGCGTTCTGCCATTTAGTTATTATCCTATTGGAAATCTAATTATAATCCTTTTACTCCCTAGTCAAACTTCACAGTTTTTGCAAGCTTAGCACTGACAAGTGATTTCATTACATTTGATTGCCCGCGCCCAGATTGACTTAACTTCACTTGGAGACCTAAAAGCCCTCTCAGTTTCTCAGATTCCCTGTTTGCACATTACTGCAACAGCTCCTTTAATTAATTAGCATGAACAGCAGTAACATGAACTGCTGAACAGAAAATAACATCATTTTATGATCGCAGGGAGACTTCTCCTTTTGCATGTTTATACCTTAGTTAACTTTTGTATGACTATATTTCATTGTTAGGGGCTCTGGTACAGTTGACAGTGCACGTTTCTTACATTTGTTAAAAATTGACATCATCATCTTAATAATAGGTAAAACAAACGCAGACTGTGAAGTTTCCAAACTTATAAAATAGACAACAGCCTTCATGAACTGACTTTATTGCCATAAATAGAATAATAAAAAAAGTTCTGGGGAAACAATATCATAAAGTACAAGGGCACAGTCACACAATGCTTTCATTTCTGCCACTGCATGTGTTTGGGTGAAAAACAAGCCAAGAAGAGAAAACAAAGAACCCTAGGAATTGCTTCTTACAAGCAGAATGTCAATCTCTGCAAATAATTTTTACTTTTGCCTACACGTTTGAAAAGATGCAAGATGCTTTGGCACTGGAATACCTTTTTCTTTTGATATTTTTCCATAAATATGATGAATTTTTTACATTTTTCCTGCTTTGTGATAGTAAGACACCACTACAAGTACAGGTTAAATCTAACCACTATGTCAAAGTAAACCAAAATTTGGTATAAAAGTAAACCTACTCAACCTTTCTTTCCTCTCTTAACCATTTGTGTTCAGAAAATGTGTTAGAGCTTATTCAGAATATAAAATGACCATCCGAAAATAGAAAATCAATTATTTCATCTATTCAGTGCCTGCTTAAGGTTCCAATGAAGATTTTAGATGCAAAGTGACTATAGTATTACTGGTCTCAAAGAGTAACAGATACAATTGTAATTTCTAAAATCCACTATATTTTACAACATAATTTACTATACCTAGATTATAATATAGAATATTATATATATACTTCCTATGCTGTGTATATGAATATGTATTTTCTTAGACATTCTTGCAAAATCTATTTGAACAGTGTCTATGCTTTCTTCACCTCTGAGACCTCCTTGTTATTTTTCCTCTTTGCTGCTTGCTTATTAATCTAGAACAATACTCCTCCCAAGAGCTTAAGATGCCATGGCAATATTTATTAAAAACAACTCTCTTTGAAATGGGATTGTGGTTGTAGTATTTGGGAAAACAGTAAGGAAAGTGATAGCAGAAGCATGAAAGGGGACAGGAAAAGATAAACCACATATCATTTCTTGCCAGAAATGCAATATGATAAGAACAATGAAAAGGAGAGCAGATATAATTTATCTAAAGGCTTTTCTACCAACTTCTATCACAGTATGCTCTCCATCTTCTTTCAGGGGGTTCACTAACTGCTTCTTTCCCTAACCTCATCAATTACTAATTTCTGTCCTCTTGATGTCTTGAACTGTGTGTGCAGATATACACAGACACTCTAATGTTCCCATTGCAAAGTGACAATATTCACTTGTAAAGTGGAGATACACAGCAAGTCAGACTAGAGGGGTTGTGGGATATGGGTCTTCTTAATAATTTCCTCTTAAATTCTGCCTTTGAGAGGAGGAGCCTTTAACAAACTACAGAAGCTTTTCTACAACTACCATCATTGAGTGGGAATAGTCTCGAGCATACATCCTACACAAAATGTCCCATTATCTTTCTCTGAAGCACCAATTATAATATTTTTTTCCTGTAGGATTCATTAGATGGCCTGAGTCATTTTAGTTCCTTCCTCGGGAAGAATTTGTCTTAGTGTCTTCACCCTGCACACCATTTTTCTCTTAATGAGTGGTACTTCCCAGACTATGTTATGCTTCTCTGCTGTGAAATACCTGACAGACAATAGTACAAACTTTTAGTCTAGCTTTTTCTTAGGAGGATATGAGAGCTTTCTTTGCTTGATCATTTAGGGCCTTGTTGTCAAGGGGTGGCTTGCACCACTTACTTGCATTGTTAACAGAATTATTTGCAGTGACTGAACGCTGTCACACTAATTATTGATGATAGCATAACAGCTCATGTACAGAACTAAGATTTAATGATTCCATCTACATCTCACATTACAGATGAAATGGCAAGACAAGATGTGTTGTACTGCTGGACAGCATTTTGAGTCTACATGAATGATTCATTAATTAGCAGGTCTTTCTTAAAATTATAATCTAGAAAAGGTTGTTTAAACTAACTCTGATCTACTGCTTGGCCTGTTGCTTTACGCCACATACACTCTACTTGTAATAAGATTGTTTAGGTTTGGAATTTACCCTATCCCACCCCTGAGCCTTGAGGGACATGCAAAAGGAAAAGTCTGTCACTGATTAAAAGTTGAAGATTTATATTTTCTCTTTCACATCTGTGTTTAAATAAAAAAATATAGCATAGTCATGGAAGGTTCTAATCATATGTCTTCATTGTTACATTGCCTTTAAAAACTTTAAATTATTATACTGATGACACATGAATGCACAGTGATTGTGTGTTAAGAGGCTTATATTCCTTGGAGTCATGAATTAATAGTCCAAATCTGGAGTAGTGAAATAATAATAAATAATAACTTGCATATTTACAGCCTAATAAACTTTGTGTCCTTCTTAATTCAAATATCCGCGAGCAGGATTATCCTGTGTGGTATTCCAGAAAGGTGTGATTAGCCTCAGTTTTCTAAATGTGGAAATAACCCCAGAGAAGTTAATTTGCTGCTATTGATAGTGAGAACTAAGAGACAGGACAATTCTAACTCTCTCACTACAATTCATTATGAGTCCATGCCTGTGAAATCTCATGGCATTTCTCATGTATATGCATGTTTAGAGTGGATCCTGACATTGTCAGTACTCCATAAATGCTAGTTTTCATCCAGTAACCTATCCCTTGTATATCTTCCCTGCTGTAAAGTAGAATTCAAGTACTTCTAAAGCTGTTAATGTGACTTAAAAGTTGTAGGCATATGTACTGGACATGTGCTTTTATTGTCATTTTATAACTGGTATATGGCAGGCACAATGAAATGGCAGGAAAAGCACTGGTCTAGTAGTCAGGGTTTCTCAGTTACTAGCACACTGACTCATTTACAAACCTTGAGAAGTTATTCAAACTGTCTGCCTTAATTTTAGTAGCTATCATAATATTTGCCTGATCTTTCACATCAATAAGTTAGGTCTAAATTCTCTAACAAGTATGTTAAGTACACACTATTATTACTATTCCATATAAAATACACATGAGGTTGACTTTTGTGTTTACAAATGTGGAGTTCAGTAGAGATAAAATATTTGGCATATAATTGACATGTAAAACTTGCTTTCAAACAAGTGCTCCTCAGTACTTATATAGTTATAATAAATATATGTTTTTGTCCCTATATGATGATAGATTCATGCCCCTCCGTTTTTAGAATCTGCCTTCCAAGAACTAGATATTCAGTAAGGGGAAAGGGTGTATTAAATAATTAATTCACAAAACCAATGTGAGTTAAAAGTGAAAAGAGAAGTTGATACTCCTTTATGATACTATTTTCAAAGAAAGAAACAACTTGTCTTTATTTTGAAACAATTATGTTAGACTATTGTAGGGCCAATAAGGTCAAGTAAGAGATTTATTTATGTACTTGAAAAGCAGTTACAGAGTTGGAGGGTGGGAGGAGAGAGAGAGAGAGCAAGCTTCCATTCCCTGGTTCACTCTTCCAATGTCCGTAATGGCTGGGGTTGGGCCAGGTGGAAGCCTGGAGGCCCTGACCCCATCAGGGACTCCCACTTGGGTGACTGAGGCACAAGCACTTGGGCCATCTTCCACTGCCTTCCCAGGCTGATTAGCAGGAAACCAGACTGGAATTAGGCAGCCGAGACTTGAGCTTGCATTCATGGGATGCTGGTGTTGCAGGTAATGCCTTACCCACTGTGACACAAAGTGAGCCCTCAAGTTTAAGACACTTCTGTTTTTTATGAAAGTGTCACATTCTAAAAAGAAGCGCTAGGATCCTCTGAAAATATAACTCCAAAATAATGCTCTTCTCTGAACAAAGAGGTATCAAATGCCATACAATTTCATTATCTGCCTCTAGCTTTCATTGCTGTACTTCTCCTATTTTCGTATTGATACTCCTATATTGATATACTATATTGTATTATATAATATATTATAATATATATTACATTCTATATATATTTTTTTTTTGACAGGCAGAGTGGATAGTGAGAGAGAGAGAGACAGAGAGAAAGGTCTTCCTTTTGCCATTGGTTCACCCTCCAATGGCCGCCACGGCTGGTGCGCTGCGGCCGGCGCACTGTGCTGATCCGAAGCCAGGAGCCAGGTGCTTCTCCTGGTCTCCCATGGGGTGCAGGGCCCAAGCACTTGGGCCATCCTCCACTGCACTCCCCGGCCACAGCAGAGAGCTGACCTGGAAGAGGGGCAACCAGGACAGAATCCGGCGCCCCAACCAGGACTAGAACCCGGTGTGCCGGCGCCACTAAGTGGAGGATTAGCCTATTGAGCCACGGTGCTGGCAACATTCTATATTAATATATTATACTTCTATATTTTTCCTTTAACAGTAAGAACTAACTGGACCCTAAACTTATCTCATTATATTGCTTATTTGATTTAAGAAAGTCATGTTCTTAACATTTCCACAACTGAAGTAGAGTTTATGAAATTAACTCTACTTTTAATTTACATTGAACCTAAGACAGAAGTGGAGTGTTAACCAGCACATCATTTTCATCATTAGGAAGATGTGATGTGCTAGGGGTGATCTAACTTGTTGCCAAATAATATAGTGCTCATTTGAAAATTAGAAACTAGTTAAACAACTTAAAGTGTGGAAAATACTATCTAACTAGAGAATTCAAATGTTTCCAGTAGTCCAAAAATAAGCTTAATAACCCAAAACAAAGGATTGACTACCTAGAGTCTGCCTGCCCTGAGATCTATTATTTCTTAAGGATGCCATATTGTTTATATAAGTGATCAAGAGTTGACTTGGAAAAAAGCTTGAACCCTGAGTAGGAAAAATCGTAAGTAAATTTTATTGAAGACAGAAATTAAAACTCAAAAAAGAAGCATCATAGACACACTTTATGGTAGCTTTTAAAAAATGAAAAGTGAGCAGGTACTTTCAAATTGCCATTCCTTAAGGAAAGAAATCTCATCTTGAGGGAAAATTGCAACCATTAACAAAGATTTTGATTCTTAGAAAATAGTGTGGGTCTTTACTCATGTTTTGGACTCCAGAGGAAAAAGGAACACTTCCTAAATGCCTTGGTAAGCTAGTCATGCATTTCACTGCAAGTTGTAAAGCAGTAGAACATGCACAAGGGGCTCATAAGTGTATTTTAGAGTTAGGGAATATCATTTACACCATTTTTATATTGTCAATATCACCTCCAGATAATAAGATTAAGCTTTAAGCTACTGTAAATCTACAGGTTTGCTCACCTTTGTATAATATCATTTTTAATAGAATGAAACTCACATAAATGAATATTTGATTGAGATAAACCTAATAAAATGATGCACTTATTACACAAGATTTATTGAAATCTAGAACAGATACAAAATGATACATAGAGTTTGATTTTTCAGTGAAGTGCATTGAGTAGATTTTGGGTTTTCTTTGTTGGAATGAAATTTTGACCAGGTCTTATTGTTTTTTCTGTGCAGCCTGAACACTGATGCCGGAACTCCAACTGATCATAGGCACGAATAGGGTGCTGTAGCAGTTACCTGCTTATCTAGTGTTGTAATTCTTTAGAATTCATACTTAAATTCTTAAACTATGGAACCTTCAATTACTATTTGTTCATTACTGATAAATAGAACCTTGCACGTACAGGGAAAATGTGCTAGAGAATGGACTTCACAAATTTTTAGGGGTTAATCATAATGATGGCTGAACATGATACTTTACACTTCTTTAACCCCTTTCTTTCATAGTGTTTCACAAACATTATCACATTAATCCACACAGCATCCTAGTGGGGTAAGTAGGAGGAAGACATGTTAAGATTTCTAAATGCCCATAGAGAGAAATTAAAATGCCGGCACAACCACTTTAAGCTGTGGTTGCTATGAAGTAGCTTTATATTTGTCTGACCTGGAGTTTAACAGCAATTATATCAGGAGGTAATTCATTTGTGTGAATGATCAATATTTGTTATCACTGCTTTTGAGCTCACCTCTCTAAAGGAAACACTTTGCCTGTAATGTTCTCTATGGAAATATAGGCAGCTCTAGTTTCTAGATTATACCACATCTAGTTTTCTCCTTGAACTATTGATGGTGGAGCAAGTAGGTTAACCCCTTTCTACTAGCACATTTCCATACCTGTAAGAAGACAATGCCAAAAGCAGATATCTAAGGTACTTAAAATTTTATTCTCTTCTCCCTTTCCCTGACTTGTTTCCTGTTTATTAACCTATCAGCAAGCAAAAGAGTGAAAAATCTAGAGATATAAGGAGGGAGAAAGACATCTGGGAATTTTTCACTGTTCACCCTCTGGACTAGACCTGGCTAACTGCCTAACATGGTCAAGCAATTAGGACCAAGTGGGTCATTTCACTTGCACTGCCTAGGAAATGGCTTCGAATGTGTTCAAATGTTTACCTAATAAAGACCTAGCCATAGGCTGATGGCAGAACCTGTCGTCATCATTTTCATGCCACCTAAGAATTCAATAGAGCAGTATGCTAGTGTGCTAAGTGGTACTCTAATGATCAGAAAGATTTAATGCTCCTGCTAAAATGTCCACCTCTTACAAACCAAAACCTAATCCATGTATTATATTTGCATCTCCCCTGGAATTAAATTCCAATGTGACAAAACACTTCACTTGTCTTATGCAAAAGGTCAAGGGAGTTTTTATCCACCATCAGATAATCAGTACCCTATGGTAGAACATTCAATTCCTGATGGAATGGCCACTGAGTTTACACACTTTTTAAATATTACATTAGTTCATATCAGTGTGACATTTCAGTCATTTACGCTCTGAAGGAATTTCTTCTAAGGCACAGTTGGCTTCCAGTGCTTTCCATGGACTCTAGAAGGTCTGCTTATGTAGAATAGGTGTGCTGGTTTAGCTCAATTTGATGAAATGACGCCAAATAAGAAATGGTTGAGGAGAAGGACTGAGGCAAGTCAAATCAAAAATTTTACTAATATCAAATATTGAACTGAATAGCAATGAAGTTTGACTAAAAATATAACATCTAAAATGTCTCCTCATTATATAGTCAAACAGCATATATTAAATGATGGAGAAACTGAACAACATTTTCAGATGAACTCACTTAAAAAGAAATTAGTGTGTTTACAAATAGATATGATTGACTTACTTTGATTGAACTTTATGGGGTCTTCATGAGTTTTCTTCTGATCTTTTCTCATATATCTGCCTTCTTTATAACACATGATTCCTAGCTATTATGATTCATAAGGTTCAGATAGACCACAGAAGGCAAGCCTCACACTTAATGGAGTTTGAAGCAGCCAGTTGTAGCCCTTGTAAGATAAGTCTGTTGATGAACAGAGGGTCTCCTGTGTGGAAGGGGTCACGTCAGCCTTCTGTTCCATAGTACATGCCCATGTCAGTCAGTGTTGTGTAAAGGGAATGACCACATGGGTCTGTATTTTTACTTAAGAAATGATGATAGATATCTATAGATATCTATCTATATAGATATACCAAATTCCCACTTTACTCATCTGATAAATGTTAAAGCAATAAATTCTATCAGTTCTCCCCAAATGTCAGACTGTGTCCCTCCTTGTAAGTTCCCAAGATCCCTGACATTCCTCCAGAGCAGCTTTGTTCCTTGCTCTTCCTGATCTTTAATCATGTTTACATCCAGAATGCATATGAAATCATCTCTGTTTGGAGCTCAAGTACAAACACTCTTAAAAACATGAAACATTCAATTACTAATTAGCTGTTTCCTGTTCCTAATGAAGTTAGCACACCAAGTATGGATTAAAATTCAGCTACTGCTCCCCTCTGTTTATGGTTCCAGATGTTTTTGTTTTATCTAGGAGTTTACTTTGACAGCTACAACTAAATGATAAATCACTCATATTATAGCTGAAATGCATTTTGAAATTGAAATGTGGCAAACTTTGAGATCACTTCCCTGACCAGTGTCAGTTAGCAGGTCAATACTGGTTCCTTCCTTATGATTGTTCAGCATTGGCGTAGGTAAAGCACTATTGGAGTATGTGTCAACATTATACAGCATACTATACAGGCGTTTAATTTGCTACTATCCTCGAAATTCGGAGAAAAAATTTTACTACTCTGAAATCTCAAATTATTGTATTCTAGCTACAAAACTTGACTCAATTAATACTGTCTTCTTCTTGCTAGTCTAGTTTTTCTTTGGCTGTCCGAGCTGCTGTGGAAACTGTCCCTCATAGGCCTTGTAAGCAGGCACAATTATTGAAGGGTGTAGGCCGATGTTTGTCTCTTAATAAAGACAAGAATTATACATAATAAAAGAGGGAATTTTTTCGGAATCTACATTTTTCTAAAGGATAAACATCCTTTGCCATTCATTACTGTGTTTCTGTACAATTTTAAGGGGGTATTCTTTGTTTTGTTATTGCTTTCAAGTTTGTAAAGTTCACAGTTTGTATTGCATGATTTAAGCTTTAGCTATATTGTATAAATTTCAATCCTGGTAAAATGGTTATTTGTCATTTGATGTTAAGGGCTTTCCTTTGACATTTAGACTGTGTATACAAATGATAAGGTAGACTGCAGAACTGAGCTACTACCTGGTCAATTTCATCAGAGTAGATATTCCAAGACTCCACAAAGGAGTCTGAGAAATTCTCTAGGGTGACAGATTATCAGACACTTGCTAAGAACTCAAGTTCTGTTTTCTTTTGGTCCCTAGAAAACCTCAGGTGAATTCCATGGGCTCCTTGGCAAACTGTCTGGTTGACATCTATTGAAATCTGGCCATCCAGCTAGTCTAACACTGACCTAAACTCTTTCACTCTTCTATCAACCTTATTACCTCTTAATTTTTGGTTATGAGATATTATTCAGAAAGTTCCACTGACTCTCCATGATTCCTTCTATCCAGAAAGAACAAGCATTTAAAAATATTCACAAAGTTAAAAAGGTATATACTTTCCTTCTGACAATGCTAAGCTTTGGCTAAACTGAGCTAATATTTTAGTTTAGCATATCAGTCCTCCAAAGATAATGTACTCTCTCCTTTATATATAAAGATAATTGAATCACAACCATGATCTTTAAGTGTACCTCAAGCACAGGTGATGGATTTGGAATGAGTCATCCATACTTTATTTCCTACTTTTACTTTTATAAGCAAAGGCCGATTTTGCGATGCAGCTAGATACAAAGCCAGGTCATCAACTCTTGGTATGACAAAGAGCAATTTTAGACAAAGAGAGATAAAATTGTTTTTTTTAAAAAAGCTTTCCAACTATAACTTTTACCCATACCAATCTAATAAAATTGGCTTGGATTCTTTTAATTACCAACATTCAAATGGATACTGGTTTAATCAATTACCATGGTTGAAATGATAGTCTGAGCTAGTCTCCCTTCATGCAGTATACACAGTCTCAAAGTTAACCTGGGGATAGGAAGTTCTAAATGTATAAAGCTTTCATTATCTTAGATCACAATCAGATACCCTTTTCCCCCTAATTTGGTGAACCATAGGGAATTCAAATGTGCCATTATGTACAAAAGGAAACTGTAATATAGATCCCTATAGACATTGCAACATAGTTCAGGAAAAGAGTATCCATCTTCAATATCTTCAGTGCTGGAGAAAGAACAGAAGCTGTGGCATGAAACTTGAAGGATCTTTGAAAACTGACACATTGATGTATCGAAATGTTGAGAAATGTTAAATTTTATCAATACAAAATCAAGCCTGTTACATCAGATCATTTTAGGTTCCTGAAGATAGAAGATTTAGTATTTTAAGCACATATCACCATTGTTCCTCAGAAGAACTAACTTGTTCTCTTTTTTTTAAAGGAGGTAACTATTACTGTTTAGCAATGGCACAACAGTTTTATTCGGCCTGAAAGGTCCTCGCTGGCTTTACATAAATGAAGATGCTTGTGAATCCAGTTTATCTCTGAAACTATTCAACATGAAGTTATTTCAATTGTCTTGATCAGCAAAGCTTTGTTTACTGAAGCAGCTATTTAATCTATGTTATGTTTTTAAAAGGAACATGTGTATACTTTAAAAGCAATGATGTAAACTTTGTCCTCACATTAGATTGACCAATTTAAAAATATGAGCTAAATCTTAATGGCAAAAGTAACTTGACCATATTTGATGCTTTTCTATGCTCATTTAAGCTTGGCTTTTTGTCTTTTAGGGGAAAAAATCAGTAGTGTGTTAGAGACTAGAAACTTATATGTATGGTTTTTCCTGTTTTACCATATATTAAGTTAAAGTATACCTTTGTTTAAAATGTACTTGCTAAACTTCAGTATAAATAAAAGCATTTTGACTTTGTCAATTGTCATTGAGTTTTTATTTCCAAATTGCCAACTGCAGACACTGAAACAGAGTTAGCGCAAATCAAAATTTAGGAACTTGGAAGTTGTTTGCAAGGCTTCTTTTAGTTTTGTTACTTGTAAATGAATATGAACATGCATGTCATTTCAATTCAACTGTTAAAACAGGCCAATATTCTTGTCTTCACTGTTCTGTTGACTCATACTGGATTTCCTTTTTGTGGCTGGTTGTGCTTACTGAACCTATTTCCAGGAGAAAGGTTTACACACTGGGAAGCAGGAAAAATATGGTGAATCAAGAACTAGAAAATCATTTTTGAATATCTATATTTTCAAAAACATTTCTTGTATTAACCCTGTTTGGTGGAGAACAAAAAGCAATGAAAGGAGTTATGTCTACTCTGGTCCTCCAAATTCCAGGTTTCTCTGTATGTCCCAGTGAAAAACTAAAATCAATCATAGCCCTTCCCTGGAGCTCATCCAAGTTCTTGTTCACTAGGAAATCTCCTGTACAGTGGCAATGCAACTTCTACTCATGACCTGTGTTGTGAAACATGTTGTATCACACAGTACTTCTGTCTGGCCACCCAATGCTATAGATCTCCAAGTTTGGAACCATGTTGCTACTTACAGATGTTATTCTCACCATCATCTCCTCATTATTCTCATTTATGGAAGTCTTGAGAGTCTTGAAAGGACTTCAAGCTCTTTCTCTTCTGTTGAGAAAAATTCTCAAGGGATTTTCCTGGCTAAACAGGCTTGCTCTGATAGTATACCAAAACACCACCAACATAAGAATACAAAAGGCAGGGTCCCCACAGTCTATCGTATGAAATGCAGATGTGCTTTATTTAAGGGTTAATGTAATGATCAAGTGAAGCCTATGTCATTAGCTACTCAGCTCCTAGAGGGTGAGGTACCTAATATTGCCTGTGGTTTAATATCTTCAGATGGCAGTCATCTGCCCTAGCTCAACATCATTGCATGCAATTTGTTTCTGGGTCCTGTGGGTGGTTGGGACTTCTGGGGAGGAAGCAACCATAGGAATTTCCTGATTATTTGGAGCCTACTTCATTGGCCCACCTGGAGACTCACTTGGGAAAGTACTGAAATAGCAGCTCACCTTGCACTTCTGTTTCCTGGGATCCGGTTGTTTGCCATTTCAATACAAAGCCTTGAAAACCTATCATGGCACCCCCTCCCCATCACCCACATCCTCATACAACACAAGAAACAGTATTAGGAAAGGAAATTGGGGAACTGCGGATGACTGTTAGGCAGAGTGGTTAAGCTACTACCTGGGACACCCATATCCTGTGTTGGAGTGTCTAGGTTTGAGTATTGGCTCCACTCCAAATTCTAGCTTCCTGCTCATGCATATCTTGGGAGACAGCAAGTGATGATGACTCAAGTACTTTGGTTCTTGTGACCCATGTGGGAGACCTGGACTGAAATATCTGGCTGCTGGACCAGTCCTAGCTGTTGCAGGCATTTGGGGGCATGAACCAGTAGACAGGAGATATCTTCCTCTCTTTATCTCTCTGTCTTTTTATCTATGTATTTCTACCTTTAAAATAGATAAAAAAGAACAGGGTACAGGAAAGGATTTTCTTTGTTGCAGGGAAGTAGTTTAATTGTATATCAATTCTTATGTATAAACATTTTTCTAGGGTTAGGTGGATATATGTTACATTATTTATATTATTTTTGAGAAAGTTCAGTTTACATTCATCCTGAGAGTGTGGCAACAGGAGGTGGATTGGCCTCATGCAAATTACAAGGTCCCTACTTCCTTAATTTTGCTACATGTAGAGTAGTGGTACGGAAACACAGGTTCCCCCACTACCAGTCATAATCATGAAACTGCCATCTATAAATAAAATCTTAGTATAATTTGTGTCCTGGTAAAAAATTTCAAGTCACCTAACCTATTTGGGATATATTCAATTATTGCTGTATTTTCCCAATGTATGTCATTCATGTAATGCCATTCATATATATTGCTATTGCTGTTTTTCCCAATATATGTGATTCATGTAATGTCATTCATATATATTGCCATTCATGTATAAGGGTCATTCATGTATAAAGGAACCCCAGTGGATTTTGTCATGAAGACATTTCTCCCCCAGCAAATACCAATGTTGTGCCTGCTTATTCGGGAAAAATCTGTGTCTGTGGATGATGTTCCAAAAATAATTTAAAGTAGAATCTGAGATTAGGAAGTGGGTGAGAGTATCTTTGGAGATTATCAAAATCTGGTATCTTGTAGGTAGGCCAGCAATTACTATTGGAAAAAATGGAATGCAAATAAACTACTACATTTTTTGGACAGCAGTCAGTATTATCAAGATCAAAACTGACATTGAACCAAAAATGTTGCCACTTCAACTTGAAATTGGAGGAAAACTACACCAAATCACACACACACACACACACACAGCTAAGTGACTTCCTCATTTAAAGTTATAGAAATATATCAAATGTTACAAACAGTGGAAAATGAATCAGCATCTTCTTAATCCCTGTTTGCACCCATGTGCATGCACATACAGTACATATGCATGCAAAAGACTTCTGTTTTGTTTTTGTTTTTGTGTTTTTTTTTTTAGATTTCTATTTATTTATTTGACAGGTAGAATTACAGACAGTGAGAGAGAGACAGGGAGAAAGGTCTTCCTTCCGTTGGTTCACTCCCCGAATGGCCGCAACAGATGGAGCTGTGTCGATCAGAAGCCAGAAGCTAGGTGCCCCTTCCTGGTCTGCCTCGCTGGTGCAGGGGCCAAAGCACTTGGGCCATGCTCCACTGATTTCCCAGGCCACAGCAGAGAGCTGGATTGGAAGAGGAGCAACCGGGACTAGAACCGGTGTCCATATGGGATGCTGGTGCTGCAGGCAGAGGATTAACCTAGTGCACCATGGCGCCAGCTCCTTGTTTTGTTTTTGTTTTTGTCAACAAATTACCAAAATCAAATATGAACATTTTTCCATTTCACCTGAGTCAAATATCTCTTGGAACATATAAGCAACTAAATTATTAGATGGAAAATGAAAGTCAGGCATGAAGACAGTTGGATGTCTCTTGAAGAGAGGATAGTCATTTTGAATAAAAAAATGCCTTGAAGATGATAATTCTGAATCTCAATTCATTCGTTATTTAAGTAAAAATTCCCCTCACTCAGTCCTACACTGATCATATAAGATTTTCTCTTTTTACACTTTTGTTAACTTTTATTTAATGAATATAAATTTCCAAAGTACGGCTTATGGATTACAATGGCTTCCCCCCCATAACGTCCCTCCCACCCGCAACCCTCCCCTTTCCCACTCCCTCTCCACTTCCACTCACATGAGGATTCATTTTCGATTCTCTTTATATACAGAAGATCAG